GATGCACAGGCAATGCATTCACATATACTTTTTGCTCCTAATTTTGCCTTTTTTATTATTGTCTTAATAAAATTAGTGTATTGCATTGTTGGAAACCCCTGTGTGTATGTTACCATTGTCTTCATTGTTTTCTAGCAATTCTTAGGTACTACCTTAATTTACCATCCCAATTCCTAACTGCTCAGTTGTGCACCATCAAATCACTACGGTTTGAGCCCCCAATTCTAATTGTCATCTCCAGTACCTCAAAGTGCCTGCCCAACTTCCGAGACTTCATCATCCGCGATGAGACCTGTTGAGTACACTGCTGAAGTAGGGTTGTGGAAACAATAGCTTTAATTTGAAGGTGTTTAGTAGGAAAAGCACTATATAATTAAAAAAAGTAGGTTTTATTCACCAGTGGTAATTACCTTTGACGTTTCTGCTCAGTTCTTCTAAAGATTAAATGTTTTTTTTTAAATTTGTACAGGTAATACAGTTTACTGAGGTGTTTTTATTAGTTATTAGTACTATTGTACTTTATTCTGAGGTTATATAACAAAAACAAACATTCTAGTTTTTCTATACTAAACATTCCAATTTTTCTATAGTATTTAAAGTTTAATATTAGTACATTGTTTGAACAAAAAAAACCTTACTCTAGTTTCTAAAGAGAAAACAGTTATTTTATTCAAAAAAGGGCTTTCTGAATAAACCTTACCAAGTCTTACCAAGTACTTTAAAAAATAAATATCATTTTCCCTAGTGAGGTGATAAACATTTATGAAATTGAATGCATTGATGTGGAGAAATGTGATTTTATGCAAACTGAAATTAATTGAGAAGGAATCCATTTTATGTCAGCAAAATCGGTATTTCTGTCTTGTGAAATGTAACAAATATTTGACAGAACTGCAAGTCTTCTTGTTTTGTGTGTTATATCACTTTCTTAACATTTTATCCATCTTTATGCATTATTACTTTAATTTATTAGTTGTAATGTGCTCTTTGGACATAATGACACAATTGCATGTTAAGAGCTACTAAAGCAATTACTGCTGTGATTTTCACCCTCCAGAAGTTCAGTTTCTCCAAATGTTCACAGCAGGATCATCAGCAAGAACTCAAAAGCAATTGAAACTCGCCTCTCCCACATACTGTACTGTAGGTTTGTACTTTATTGACCTTCCTGTATAAGCACAGACTTTACAATAATGATTCAGGCTCCTGAAGATTTAATGTAATGTAAATGTTGTGATTCAAATACCAAAAAAAAGGAAACAGCTTGTTTCACGACCTAAGGGTGGTGGGATGTCACAAACAATGGCTTTGAGGCGATAATGTAGCTCTTTTCTAAAATCAAGAAGATATAGAACAATATAGAACAAGATACACCCAGGTACAGAACCAGGGTTAAAGAGAGTCGACTCTTGGGAGAATCGTGAAAACTTTTTTGTTTTCAAAAGACAAATGTTATTCTACTCAGCATTTCAGATTTGTATCCAGGTAGAATACGTATGAATGGAGAACTTGTTGAGTGTTTACCTTTTCTTCCTAACACCTTAGACTACAAAGTAAACCTTTCCGATCAGGACTGGGTTGCAAGGAGAAACTATGGACCAGTGTGAAAAGTAGTTTCTCCACTTTACTGAAAAACCACCTAGGCATATCTACTGTATTTGCTACGTATTCACATTTGAAGGACAGTCAAATTATTTTTTTCTGTGTAATGTAAATTCTGGGATTGGTTATTATGAGTTTTGTTTTCTGTGCATCTACCATTTCTGTTCAAACCTTTGTTATAAACCTATTTTAATGATAGTTCTTCTTGCAATGTTCTTCTCTCCTATTGTAGCACAGACTCTGACAAAAGTTGACGATCAAGTCGGGTTGCTCGACCACAAATGGGAAGCCAAGGTTGGTGAAGTGAGTGGGGCTGGGAGAAAAGAGAGAGGGGAAATGGGAAAGGAAGCAGGCCCCATCAACTGGAGGTCCGACCTGAGCTGACAACAGGAGAACTGAAAGAAAGGAGCAGGCAGGTGCAGGGCTGAGTCCAGTCGTGGTGAACAGGCGAGAAAAAATGAAGGCTTTAGCCAAGCTGAGCGCCAAAATGCAGAAAGGAAACACGTCGAGTTTTGGGCAGCCGGCGAGTATTTATACAGTACATTGGAGAGCCGAAGTGCGAGATTGCCCTCCTCCTGAACTTCTGTTAAATAACACCACAAGCCAACAGCCAACGCTATAGTCATTTTTAAATGTATTACTCAGCTGGCTTGTTAGTTGCATTGTACTCATTGTTCCGATTATATTTTTAAGTTGCGATCTGAACTTCCTCAATGAATAACGAGTGGTTCTTTATTAACATCAGGAACTACACTTTTATCAGCTGAAAGTAAGAGATCGCTGCGTTCTTGGTCTTCTCTTAAGAAAACTCGGAAGCTTCTTCCCCTCTTCTTCAGATTCTTATTGGATGACATTAATTATTTCTCCTAATTCCATTAAGATGTATATATACTGTATTTATATTGTCAGGCATGGGTTAAACCACAGTTCAGCACAATGTACAGTGCCTTCAGGAAGTATTCAGCCCCCTTGTGTTTTTCTACAATCTGTTACAGTATGTTGTAAACTCAGATACATTTATATGAAATGTATTGTCTCTGATCAACACAAATTCCTCTACAATTTTACAGTGGAACACAATTTCTAGACATATTAAATGCAATTTTCAAGTATTCACTCCCTTTGCTATGTAAACTGTATACAGTATGTATTTTATGTACTGTATATATATTCTAAATGGACCCCAGGTGTATGTAATATACTTGTGAGATCATGCTTGAACTAGAATGGAGTTCACCTGTTGTTAGTTTACTAGATGACTTGACTTCAGCAGACATATATACTGGTTGTCTATATAAGGACCCTCGCTTATGAGCACATGTCAGAGCAGAAATTCTCCTAAAGACCAAGGAGCTCTGCATGCAACTCTGTGGCAGAACTGTAAGGATGCAAAGATCAGGGGAGGGGTACCAGAAATTTCTCAGTGGTGTTGAAAGTTCCTAGGAGCACAGCCAGGACCATCATTAGGAAATGGAAAGAATATGGGACCACCTGGACTCCTAGAGCAGCCCATCCTCCCAAAACTGAGCAAGAAGGACCTTGGTCAGAGAAGTGACCGAGAACCCAATGGCCACCCTGACAGAACTACAGAGCTCCGTGGCTGAGATGGGAGAACCTGTCCAGAGGACAATCTCTGCAGCACTCCACAGCTGCAGCCTCTGTGGCAGAGTGGCTAGATGGAAGTCTTGCAAGGCTGGAGTCTGTAAGAAGGTACATGGAAGACCTTGAGACCATGTGGCAAAAGATTCTCTGGTCTGGTGAGCCACAAATTGAACTCTTTGTCATGAATGCAAAGCCCTATGCCTAGAGCAAACCAAACACAGCAGCTCATCGCCAGTGCAACACCATCCCTACCACGAAGACTGAAGGTCACCAACTCACACCATCCAACCTGGCAGAGCTTGAGCAAGTCTTCAAGGAAGAATGAGCAAAAAGTCCTCACATCCAGAAGAGCAAAGCTGATACAGCCACACCCAAGAAGACACAAACTTGCGTATGTTGTTTTAATCAAGGGGGAAAAAATGGAAGCTCTTAACTGACGATAGCAATAACAAGTCAAACTTACCCAGCTGTTCTAATCATATCGTCCAAAATGAGCTATTATATATACATGAAGCAAACTCCTCTTTTAGCCTTTGTCTCATGCATTCCTCCTCCAGCCCTTCAACCCACCCCAACACCTACAGGACACAGCTGCCCCTTGGTTAATTCCCCTCTTTGAATGGGGTTCAAGTCTTATTGTTCCATGGCCAGGGGGCTGTCCCTTAACCAAACGGGTTAATCCCAAACTTCCCTATCTAAAACAATCAAACAATCAATCATTCAGCATCTGGTTTTTGGATGTCTTTATCTTTATTCATCATTCATGATGGGATGAGTCCTTTCTGAAGGCTCTGTATGTCCAGCCAACAATCGGCCGTACGACCGTACATTAATTTTAGATTTTTAAAGCCACTTTATCCAGCCGATTTTGGACATAGTTCTCCAAAAACATCAGAACAGACTACACTGTCATGTATAAATTACAACTGGTACCAGTGCATTAAACGTATAAGCGTTCAACATACATCAGGAACCTGACTGGAGGCCAGAGAACTGTGGACAACACCTAATGTTACATCAAGTACAGATTCATAATCAGCCCACACAACATACTAACATAACATATAACCATAAAATAAAATCTTGCTCGAAAAATCAATGGACTAGGTCCTGCAGGTCTCTAATAGACCAAAGCACTGGATCTCTTTGTTTTTCTTCATCCACATATACAGTATGTATTGCGTTTTTAAAGTATGAGTGAAAGTTTATAGCTGCAGAACTGTTATGCATCAGCAGTCACATTAAATGTTTATAATTGAATCCACAACACAGCATACATACGGTAAGCCACAATATGCAAAAAATGCGGCCTGTTATGCAAGCTATATAAACATACAGGACAGAAAAAAAATAGTCTGCTTTTAAAGAAGCACTGCCTTACCCTCTTCCTCACAGTCACTCAATCAAGGAAGAGGACCTCATGTCAAATGGTTTCATTTATAGTTTCCTGAACTTGTCTTTCAGAATCTGCTGCTTACATTCTGTATATCTGCATGGGAAGAACATTTCGAAAGGATCAAAAGAATATAGATGACATTTGAAGTGTCTTATCTCACCATTATTTTTTCAATATTCTTACTTCTGTTGTCCCTCCTCCTCTGTAATCTCAGGTATTGTTCTCTAGGCTAGGTTACAGACAAAAGTCAGCAGGAATCCGTGAGAAAGGTGTGTTCCTTCCACAGCACAAACAGGGCATCACAGTTTTTCCGCATTTAATGTAATGGAAGACTCCAAGTGAGGTGTGTCTGCAGTGGTGAAAGGTCAGAGTAAGAAGAAAAATGACACACACAGCTTTGTCTGTTTTAATATTTTTATTATACATTGCAGAAATAGCCCTGTTAAGTGAATATAGAGGTGCAACATATACAATATTCAATTAAGAAGGTTCTTGAGGTCTGTCATTCAAAGTTGCAAACAAATGTATAGTAATAATATACAGGTTTCTTTGCCAGAAAGTCAGTTTTGCACGTTTCATGCAAGAGCAAGTATTTACCATTAAGAAAGAGCCCTATAACATAAAAGTGGCAGCCAAAATAGCAGAAACAAATTACTATTACCGAGAGCACAGAGAACCAAATTGGCTGGCATCTTTTCAAGATATTTGGCACAGGTGTGATTATGTTCCATAGAATATATTCATTTATAAAGTGTAACGACCACCACTGATAACGAAAAAACAGGAATGAATCTCGTTAAATACGGGTATTTTAGAAATAGCTTTCGACTATATAAAATAAGCTTCTCACTGGAAATTGAGCAGGCTGCACGACGCAATAAAGAAACCGAGCTACATGAAAATAGTTAATTAAAAAATGTAACACCTTCGTTTTTCATTCCATATAAAACATTGTTCATTCTATCAACACTGCAAAAAAATGTATTCAAAAAGGTCAGAAATGCGTTTATACAGAAAGAACTTCAACGTGAAAGTTAACGGCGACTTACACCCATTGTGCACATAATATAATTTTGCAAGATAGGTTGTAAACAAAGTGCTCATTCAGCGTCTGCCAGAGTACAGCAAAATAATACAAAGGTTTAAGATACATAGTGTGCTTAGCTGTTATTTTCTTTCTCCTTCAGCCCACATTTCGGGGTTGTACAATACTGGCTCCGTGTTAGGGAAACAACTCTTTCTCACTTTTTAAATATTTTAGGCAGGGTAAGATAATTAATAGGCTTTTCGTTAAACGCCATTTTAAAAAGAAATGTATGTATATATAATTGCGTGGTATCATTCACTTGGTTTTTCTCGCCCAGAAACTGGGCACGGGGTTACCGAAAGCAAAGAGGATCACGGCCCAGTCGTGAAGGACTTCAAAGTGCTTTTGTCAAAAGGGAAGGGCGATATATTAGAATTCTCCGTTAAACAATGTCTTTGGAAGTGTTTTAGACACCCGGGGGTGGCTTGTCTGACATATTTTTCAGCACATCATCGATTCTGTCATCTTCAATGACAACTGTAAAGAAGAAGAAGAAGAAAAAACAAGATCTAATGGCTAACTGATAGCTTTATTATTATCCACTCGGGTAAAATGGTTTCTGCTAATGATCATTCACACTGCAGCACCACGTGAATGTCAGAGTTAATAATAAACTGGTTCTAGTCTGCACAGCCTTAGGGATAGAAAGTGCAATTAAATCTCATATGGACACAGTATCGTTCCTCAATGGGGGTGTAAATGAAACATTAAAAGTAGCAGATAAATAAATGAGCAGCCTATATCCTATACGTCATGCTCCATGCATAACTGCTCAATATTTTCACTAGCGGAGAATCAAAGACGCATTAAAAAAAAAAACATCTAGCAATTACATTGCAGAGAATGTAGAAACTTCCGGGCTCATTTAACTAATGAACGGCTTGATGTATTGCAAACTATACACACAGTACTTTTTTTTTTAAGGATTACTGATCTCTATGTAAAATGTTAAATATTGCAAGCCACACTATATCGTATAGTTAGAGGTTACACCTCACATTACAACTATTACTGCCAAATTGGTATTAAGAAACGTCCTGCAGCAAGTACAAAATTACACAGCTCGTATCAGTTCAAAGAGAGGTAAACACAGTTCACACGCTCCCCGTGAAGTTGTATAGTTATTAACGGGAAACAAACATGGTAAACATAAACACGTACTTAATATGTGAACTGCTTAAAATATACCAATTGATCATTGCTATTAAACAAAATCCTGCGACAGCGCATCTGTAGACTACGTTTTATTGTAGTATTTTACATGTGCGGAAGCTGGTACCCAAAACGTCCAAAATTCCTCTCACCTCGTTTGCTTCTCCCGATCTGCCCAAGTTTGGGGGGTCTTTTATTTTGCCCTGCGCCGAAGAAGTTATTGGTATCCTGGAGACGACAGGTGAAGGAGAGCTGTCCCACATCTCCGTCATCGCCATAGTGAGTAATTTTCTCCTCGTTGAAAGGCAAGACTTCCGACATGATGTCTTGACTCTCTCCAAAAACGACTCGGCAGTAATCGATATGAATTGTAAAAAGCCGCAGGGAGGGGGGAAAAAGACCGTAATCAAAAGCAACGCACACACAAATAAATGGGAAACTCGACCGTGGTGTCTCTTTTGCCAAAACAATGTATCACCGTGGACACAATCAGAAACGTTGTTTCTCTTTGCAACAGTCACATTATTCAAAGTTTCACGTTGCCGCTCTAATGTTTCTGCGTGGAAAACAATCGTGCTGCTTTGGACGGTCGGAAAAGTAGCCAGGAAAGGCTGCCGTGGAGAGAGGGGGGAAAAAAATGCAAATCGAAGAGCGAGGCACAAACAGATCCCTCGGAGACCTGGCAGGGAGAACACGTCACTGAGGCTGTTTTCCTGGTGCAATTCCCCCTCGCTTCGCGTCGACGACTCGCCGTCTCCGTGGAGAATGGCGTTCTACTCTTCCTTGACTTTTTTCAAGAAAACACCCAAGATCTGGCCGACGCCTTCGCTCAGATACTGAAGAGAAAGGGGCATTCAGGCAATTTGGAGGCCCCCCGCGTCAAGAGACGATCAAATGTTATCTGAAGGCACGCAAAGGCAAACTTCGAGCAGCGTGACAGACGGAGCACGTGTGCGCAGGTGTACGCAAGATGCAGTACAGTATGCAAAGCGCGACAGAACACGCACACCCCCTTCCCCGTACTACACAGTCTGGGCTTTCCCTCCCGGACAAACCCCGGTTTCTAGCACTTTCGTTCGCACTGGGGGGGCTCACGTTGACATGCGGGGCTGTAGATTGCTTGCTTGCTGTTTTCACCGACAGTAAAGTCAACCTGAGGGCTGGGTAATAAATGCATCATAGGCTCAGAGTTTTAGTCCTTTACATAGAAGATCGTAAAAGGGATGTGCACGTCGTTGAATGGGTGCCTTATCATTTACTGTGACCAGAGTGATCAGGACCTTTTTCACAGATAAAAAAAAAGAAGCTATTTTGTGCATAGGTACCGAAAGCACTATTGAGGTCTGAAAACCGCAATTGAATTCCAGCGGCGGTTCAAGAGAATAAACTGCTGCTGCATGTAGGATATGTAATATACTCATGTGTGGTATGTCGTTCGCACCTCGTTCTTAACGATCCTTGGATGAAAAATAGTAAACCTTTTAACAGTTATCCTTACTCTCGAACATCTTTTCAGAAATGCTTAGGCGATTTCTTGAATGCATTTCAAGCAAATCAATGCACATATCATAATATATTCCATTCAGCGATTATTATATATGTGCAGTTTCCACAAGGGACTCTGTCTTAGCGGTGAGGGTGCTATGAGGTAGAAATGTGGTCGTTTTAACTTACCCATATATTTCTGAGCTACAATTACAACTCACATCACATACAGTAATTGCCCCCACCACAGGGAGTACAGTTACAGTACTGCAGCATCATGCCCGTCACGACGAAGCTTCGCTTATAAAACAAGGACTATAAAGTACTAAATGCAGGTATCTCCCTCTCCTGGCTGCACTCGATATATTGTTTTAAGGGTCTCAAAAACCTTTAATAAGTCTTGATCTCCTCTTCGTCCCACTGGAAAACAAAATCGTTGACTCCTGAAATTATTTCTTCACAACGAAAAAACGACCACATTTTCTCTTTCTTCTCCTGGTGATTTTAACGCAAGAAGGTCATTTCCAAGGCAGTTATCTACATTTGTAAAAAAAAAAGACACAATGGGGGTGCTTTCACAACACCGATCCAATCTTTATTACAAATGTTGTGATTATAAACAATTGCCTAATTTTGAAACCTCGAGTACAGTGTAAATAGTAAGAATAACTATCCTTACAAAGGCGTAATTAACGTCCTTTAGCAGAGCTCTTGAGAATATCACTGAAGATTTGTCAGCCTGTACCCAGTGCACTGTAGTGTCCATTATTTGGATATTTAAGGCTACTGGTGCAGGGACAACCCAGAAAGTGAAGACAAGTATATTGTATCTTGCCAGCACGGTCTATGACATTTCCAGCACAAAATTGTTTTTTCAGGATACGAAGGATCGAAAACTACCATTCAATGTGGAATTCATGGCCAGGTTGCAAGGAAGAGGTGACCTGAATTTGTCAAACTACATCTGAATGACAACTGGAAATGTTAATGGTTTAAATGCATTATATCTTACAGCCAGGTGAAATAAAAAATTAGCTTTTTGGAACTAGCCTATTTGAATGATAAAAACTACATAACGTGCCCATTGTGAAATATTGCATTTCTCAATTGCTGGTCAGTGATTCACAGCATATATTCAACTAAAAAATGAAAGATTTAACTGTGTGCAAAGAAAAATCTTCTCAACCAGCCATCTCTATCTACTGATCCCAATGCAATCACAGATTTGTAGATTGAGCTCAAAAGGCAGCTTGAAAAAGGAAACCAAAGGTTCTGAAAGACCTAGAGGAATTCTGCCTGTAATAATAACCAGTAATCCTCTCTCAGAAGTGCCAGAACCCTAAAGTACACTACAAGAGGCATCTTGTCAGCGTAATCCCTGCCAGAGGAGGATTTACAAAATATTTAAATATAGGGGTGGGCATACTGTATGGCCCTTCGATTATCTGTGGTATATACAACTTCATTCTATGCAGACCAATTAAGATTTCAGTATAACACATACAAACAGTATTTAACCAAGACGCGTTATTCAGTATTAAATATTCCACTTGTCACTGGAGGTATGAATAACACCTGGAAGATGCTGTAACATGCATTTCAAGAAACTGTACGATGCATTAGTTGGCCCACATCTGGAATGCTGCATTTAATTCTAGTCAGCCAGTTTACAAAAAGGATCAAGAAGCATTAGAGAAAGTCTGGGGAAGAGCAACAGGACCTGTTCCAGGGTTTAAGGAGATGAGTCATGAGGATATTCTTAATCTTTTCGATCACAGTACAAGATATCAGAAAGGGGATTTGATTAAGAACCTCAAAAATGTAAAGGGAATCAATAAAGTCGATTCTAGTAGTTGGTCCTGGTTAAAAGTGATTCAATGAGCAGAATGCAGGAACGTAACCAGAAATCAGTTAAACCACACTTTTGCACCTATATCATAAAATACTTTTATTTAACATATGTATTATTAAATAGGAGAGTCCCAGCAGCAGTTAGCATTGCTGCCTCTCACTGCTAGGACCCTGGATTCAATTCTGGACCTGGAGTGCTATCTCCATGTTGAGTGACTTCCTCCTTGGTGCTCTGGAAGACGTATTGGTAGACAGTTGGCTTCTGGGAAAACTGGCCCTAGTGCAAGTGTTTTTGTGTCCCTGTCCCGTCCAGGATGTACCCTGCCTTGAGCCTGCTGCTTGCCAGGATAGGCTCTGGCTCCCCTGCGACCCTGTATTGAATAAAGCAGTTAAAAATGAATAGATTATTAATTGGAATGCTTTACCTTTCACATGTGTGGAGGCAGAGACGTGAGAACTTTCAAGTTACGTCAAGGCTTGGTGCTGCGATGGATTCACTCAGGGTACAGGAAAAGGAGCGCTAATGGAATGAATGGCATGTTCACATCAATTGTTATCATACTGTTATAAACCAAAAAAGGCATTAACTAAATGAAATATGCCACTTTGTCCTAGATCTGAATTGTCCTGCATTTTGTTCCTTATGCGAGTTGTGAATTTGATATATTTCTAAGGTACTATTATTTTTTCTAATGGACGGTAATCGGTGTGATGGTTGATCATTTAAAAAGATGTGAAAAGACATATAAACCCACTAGGCGATGCCCTCCAGGCAAGGAGACATGTACAGCACTACTATGTTAACTACTTAAGTAATAATTTAGTTATCTGGTCACAGTTACAATCTATCTCCTGGCTTTCAGAGGCAAAGGACTAAAACCTGAAGGATCGGGTTCCTTTCAATACATGAAGTGTCTAATTAGGGAGTGTTCTCAGACTGAGCTGTGGCCTGTCTGAACCTGTGATATCTCAGCTGTAAACAGCAAGACAAATCAGTCTACACCAAGCTTTAGGAAATAAGAATAAACAAGTGTCCCATCAACACCATAGTGCTGGACCAGTTCAGTTAACCCCATACTGTATGTCCCATGGTAATTGGAGATAAAAATAACTACACATAAAACTATTTGTGTTTTGGGTGGTACTGTATAAGAATGCATTACTTTAAAATGTGTGAATAGCTGTATGCCACAAAGAGTTAAATCTTAATTAGCAGTCTTTCTGGGATGAAATAAAATAAATTGCTTTACCCCATGATAAGTAATAACAATGGGACCATTTTTAACTGAATACCTTGATCATATATGTAATAACTCATAGACAATTTAACCCATTTTAATATACACAAAATAATAATTTTGTGCTGACCAACAAATATCCTTCTGCATATCGATTTTGAAGATATACCGTATAGATTACATTTCCCAGAAGAAACTCTTTGACCAATAAAAATACAATATTTTATTATGTATATTTGGTACAACGTTTAAAATGTACAAGTGTAGATTCCAAGCTGAATATTATTTTGAGTTTTCATAACCATTCAGTTTTCAAAGTTCTAATCAAACCTTGAAACCTATTAAATACGCAATCTTTTTCCATCCCCATTAACAAAAAAATAACAGTTGCAGAGAAAAGAAATATTTATCACAAGAAATATTTGACAGAATATCTTAGTGATTCAACACATTATCAACTTAGTCTTCGATAACCCAAAAATGAAAGAATTCAAAATGCTGAGGGGAGGTAATGTATAAAGATCAGACAGAAAAGTGATTTGTCTTCACGTGAAATAAGATAATATAAGTTTAAATAATAAATGCCACAAAGACACATGTATCGTTAAAGGGACAACAGAGTATTGTGCCCTGACTAAACACATTTAACTCCCAGATAACATAGAAACCTGCTAAATAAGATCCAATTCTATTTATCTTATACTTACTCAATATTTTCACAGATAATGTACTACAGAAAGTTGATTATCTGTACTGCTGATATTCCTTTTTTCAATTTCTAAACTTCTTTATCGTAAACATGACCGGTAATTACGGCCATTAGTGAATGCTACATTACCACGAAAAAGTTCCACCATAATGTAATATTAATATAGTGTCTAGGACTATACATGTGGATAAACCAACTTATGTAACCCATCAGTAAATGAGTCTAAAATAACTGCAGTGAAGAGGTGGTACACATTCTCAGAAAACACATCCCATTATCAATGATAAGTAATGAAAAAAGTACATTTGAACTACCACAAAAAATATGTACCACCTTTCACAATTTTCAATTTTCCTTAAAATGTTAAATGGCAGGTTAAGGAGGATGTTCAGAACTCTAAAAAGAGTTCTCTAAATGGGAAAATTTCAGATTTCCACAAATACAACTTACTGTGATCACATTTTACCTCGGAGTGTTTTAGTGATGTGTCAGTAATTTTCCTTCACACCCATTATATCAAATTCGGCTAGATAAATTATCACTTGTGAAGATGGCATGTCTCCCACAGCAGACAGCAGGTTTTGAAACCTGGCGCACTGAATACAAGTTGACTTCTTGAAAGCAACAGTATTGGATATATAAACTATTTAAAATGGGAAACTTGACTGTAATGTTTCTTTTGGCATCCATAGAGACACCCAATGTTTCTGAGAACCATGTTAATAACACTCAGCACGTGCGTCCCTTTGCCAATTGGTAAGAAATTGAATATTTTGGGTAAAATAATGTTCTAACTGTTGTATAATGGCACAACTCTTGAAATGGCTTTTCTGCACATGGGACACTTTTTTGGTTGAGGCAACGCATGGTAGCAGTCATCACAAGAGCAAACATGGCCACACTCCAAGAATACACAGGAGCGCTCAGAGCTGAGACAAATGATGCAGGCGTTTGGAGAAATGGACTCTTCTTCTAAGTCCATCTCTCGCAGGCGCTTTGTCTGCATCTCCCTAAATTCCTCCCGGATGCTTTTCAGCTTCTGCCGCTCCTTGAAGTGGATATACTGTTTCCTCAGGATAAAGAAGACCGTTGCACATGTGGCTATCCCAAAAACGATGGTCAAGACTTTCCAGAGCTTGACTCTGGATTGCTGTTTTGTCAGCAGGGACTCGTAGTCCAATCGGCTGATGAAGTACTGCATCCCCTGCTTGGGAGGTTGCAGTTTGACGAGGTTGCTGTCCAACACCAGCTCTCCCACTCCTGTGACACTCTCCCCGACTTTCAACATTTCCTCAGTTTCTCTGATGCCTTTTGGCCGCTCTCCGCTGATGAGGTGGCCAATGGCGTCAGTGAAGGACTGCACTGTGGGGTGGAAGTTTTCATAGACCACTTCCAGGTCCAGTTCAGCAGAATCCAGGGGTCTGATGACCCGAACAGCAGTACTAACACTGTCGTCGTGGGATACAAGGTCAAAGGGCACTGTATTAGTGCGTTGATGGACAATCTTTTCACAGTCATTCCTGGTGGCAGAAAGGCACAAAATCAGGTAATTAGGTAAAAAATAGATATACAGCCAATAACTGGGATGCATATCTTAAAAAAAGGCAAATCCTTAGTTTTTCTTTGGAAAATAAGTACATCAGTACTATTCGTGTAACACTGAAATATAAAAATCTGTCTGATTAATACACAATTGCCCGTTTTCAATTAATGTAAGAATTAACCAAAGCACCAGAAAAAATGTTCAATTAACATTTCCATGCATTGAAAAGTAAAGCAATATATCGATTAATTTAAGCTTTTATTCCAATCAGATAGGATTTGTTGAATGGCGATGGCCTGTCAATGCATTACAAGACCATTTGAGAGAAAAAGAACTCAGAGGAAGAAGCTACTTCTGAGACTATACTTGAATTTGCCAAACTACTGAATGACACCTGGAAGTTTTTATAATGATATGCATTATGTCTTACAGTCAGATGAAATAAAAAAAAAGAAGCTTTTTGGACATTCCCATCAGAATTATATTTGTTGGGAAAAAGTAGAGAAAACGCCCATTGTGAAATATTGCACTTTTCTATATCATGCCAGTGATTCACAGCTAACATTGTAAAAAAATGAAAGAGTTCACTGCATGCAAAATACATGTTCTCGACTAGCCACCTCGATCCATTGACCGCAATCCAATCACAGATTTGTAGATTGAGCTCAAAAGGCAGTTTGTAAAAGGAAAGACCAAGAGGAATTCTGCCTGTAATGATAATCAATAATCCCTGCTCGGAAGTGCCAGAACCCTAAAGCACACTGAAGGAGGCATCTTGTCAGTGTAATCTCTGCCAGAGGAGGATTTACAAAATATTTAAGTGTAGGGGTGTGAATAAATATGACTCTTATGTTTTCTGTCCTTCAGTTACTCATGGTACTGTTTATACAATTTCACTGTGCAAACTCATTTAGATTGCAGTATAACATTTATATATATATAAGTAGGGCACATTAGTCAATCTGTAAATATTTCTGTTATATGTAGGTTTTTGCTCGTTTCACTGGAGATATGAATAGCATCTGGAGACTGCTGTAATATGTTTATCAAGAAACAGTGATAATGGTACAATAGTACATTGTACCTCAAAGCCTACGAGTTAAAAATCAAACAAATTTTAATGAATGACTCACGATTTATTATTATTATGAATTGCATACTGAAACAACAGAATCACTCTTATTCTAAGCACTAAATAATCAGTATGTCAAAACATCAGAAGCTAATTACTAGATATTTGGTATATCTGATTTTCACACAATGACATAGCACACTTCAAACACTAGTCTGGTTCGTTGTTTTATTTCTTTCACACTGGAATTTAACTTGCCTCTTTTTTTAAGAACATATTGTAAAAGTTAAAGAACTAAGCTTTTTTTTTTGTCGAAACGCACGTGAACACCCCTTAATAACTGATCTGTGATTGTGTGGCATACGGCTCACTTGCTGAATTCCCGTCAAAGCAGTATTAGTTCTGATCTTATTTGCAAGCATGTGCTTCTATAGACGGAAGCATAGATGCACAACAATGGCAGATACGCCAAAAAATAGTGAAAGTGCATACCTACGCAGAGATTGCCTGAACCCCCCAAAATAATCCACTCAGTTTTATGCAGAAACATTCTGGCAAGTTCAAACTGCATTTTGCTGCTCGCCTAACTCTTAGGTATCCAGTACTTCTTATAGTGCAGTGAAACACTGTGAAGAGGCTGTTTTGTACAGAACAGTAATGTCCTCAGACGCTTTTCTTTATTCACCAGAGATGAGTCGTGCGGTTCCAGACCATCTTGTGTTCCCGAAGGGTCAACCTCTCAACCACTCCCTTACAGTTGTCCACAAACTGGCTGCTTAAGGTTTCCTTGACCGATTTTACCACACCTACAGAAACGGATTGAATGCAATAAGTAAGCAAGGCTCTTAGCAGCTCAGTCCCAGCACAATTAACCTTGCAGAAGTATTTTGTTTTTTAGCAACGGACAACACAGAAAACACAAGATTGATCCCCCCCACCATCTGAGAAGTGCCAACTCAAGGAGCATTTTCCAGGAACCGATCTGGGAATACGGATGAGGGGTTCCACAGTAATTTTGTGAATCTTAATTTGCCTTACACAGCATAAAATAAAGTAACCAAGACAGGATTCATTCAAACAAGGATAAGCAGTATTGTATGATGGTCAGTTTCTTTGGGTAAACAGGGATCTTCTAACCTTAACAGCTTCTTCTAGACTGTTTAGTCGCCCATTTCTTTCATTACCTATTTGTGCAATAATATATTGTTGGTGCTGTGTAAGATTCTCTCTTGTAACTACTGCTTATGATTACTGGCATGAGACAAAGTAGCTGGATCTATTTTGCACCTTTCACACCAACAGTACTTTAATCTTTGTTTTGTCTCTATGTAATGAATACATGTTAAAATATATAGAGAATATGGCTTTGAGCTAATTAATACAGCTTCATTTTGCTTTTTCACTATGTTCAATATAAATATTTGAAGAAAAACTACTATTTATCCTTTGGTTACAAAAAAGGAATATTAAACAATCAAACCAACTGTAGCAAACAGTTCAAGGGACAGGATCAACTACAAAATGATTAAGGATATTTTTGGACAATAAATTCAAAATCCTGCATGTTTTGCCTTCAGTTAAACATACAATGGACAAATAAAGCTAAATTCCTCTCTAAAATGTAGACAGAAGGAAAATCTAAACAATGCTGTGTAGTTTTCCTCAGGTATGCCAAGACCACACAACTCCAAAAAGCTAAATGTAGTTCTTAGCAGCATGCTGATAAAAAACACACTACCTTCGATTACTGCATATGGAATACATTTTCCTGGTGCATCAATGAGGATTTTCTTGAGGTCTTGATCTATGGAAATTTTTTTGGCTTCCTACGAAGTAATTTGAAAAGAAAATAGCAACGTAACTTGAAAAGAAAACTGAAGCACAAATTCTAACTTTATAAATCTGTACTGCAATAAAATATTAACTTATTGTTCCTAATTAGACTGGGTCAATTTGTGTGTTTGTACAGATCTTCAGGCACACTCTTATCCATGCAAAGAATAATGTGTCTACAAGCAGAATTATTCATTTTTGATGTGTAATAATTTATATGACCAGTTTTACTTTCCCCTTTGAAACTTCAATTTAGAAGTACCAATAATTATTATTTCCTACCCAAAACGTAACAGGAACATGAAACATCACATAACAATATTCAGATTGTGTAATGCTCCATGCTTAAAAAATCTAAAATGCTATACTGCAACATTGAATAATTCCTTACACTTATATAGTGCTTTTCTGGACATGCCACTCAAAGCACGTTAAAGGTAATAGGGACTGTCCTCTACACCATCAGTGTGTAGCCTCCACCTGGATGATGTAATGGCAGCCTAAGTGCACCAGTACACCCACCACACACCAGCTATTAGTGGGGAGGAGAACAGCGTGATGAAACCAGTTCATTAATGGGGATTATCAGGAGGCCATGATTTGCCACGGGGCATGTACAAATGTAATGTAAAGTGTTAGTATATAGTTTTCCACTGGAAGGTACTTTTGATTTTAATATTATTTGGTTAGACAAAGTAGATCTGAGATCTTCCTGACTGCAGTCAAATCTGCTGCCTCTATCACCTAAAAAGTTCAAGACAAAAGACAAAGAAATGAATCGGTTACCTTTAACCTGCAGGCTGTTCCTGCCTTCCTTCTGTACATGGAGTAGAAGACTGCAGTTAAAGCTGAGCTGGTGGCTAGCAGCACAATCTGAGCTGTAGAAGGCCTTCCACTGTGTTCCATCTCGTAAAGTGGAATGCTAGAAGTTAATTAAAAAATAGATTTATCAGAACAAAGGATATCAGGTAGATTAATCAGATTGATAGACTGCAAGGCGCATCACTCAATTAAATACTCTGATTGAAAATTGCAACAGTGCAAATGAAAACCCTAGTTTGTCTGCTGAGCTCATTACCATAACCAGAAAAAATATTAAAAGAATACAATCGGTCTTGCCAACATAAAGCAAACTGCTCCCGCTCTTAATCAAGCTTATTTTAATATTCAGAATATGTTGCATATTCTGAAAGTAGCTGTCTACTGCAGTGGAGCAAATGGTACAATTAACAAGAATTCTATGCTCTTAAGACTTCCACAGGGTAGGTTATGTACACTGTCTTCAAATAGAAATCACAGCCTGTACTGTGTTTTTGTAGGTTTGTTAAAAGTGAAGATTTCCAACAGGTGCATGTAAAAATGATCAGAAAGTAGTTCATAACTTTTTAACTGTGAAAGACCAAGCTTTAATTTCTTTTATAAGCCACAGGTACAGTAGAAATGGGGCTCCAGGTAACCCCATTTCTAACAATTAAGTCTAGACGTGTACTACTGTTTGATGTCAGTGCAGTGCTTTTTTCCTTTTGCACTGAATCCTAACAAAATCCCCCTCCTTTGTTTCTCTAAGAAGAGTCTGCAGCACAAATTCACATAGAACCCTGCTAGCTCTGTCAAACAGAGCTGCCTGGGGGAAACGTGAAAATTAATTCTGATTGAAGTGCATATCAAAACTTTAAGGCTAGATTCTGTCATCCTGACAGAGAAGACCTAAAAAGTATACAGACTGAATACAATTCCTTAAAAATTCAGGACTCTATAAAAACAGTAAGTTCAAAGACATTTCATATAACATTGTGCATGATAAGATATCTCCACTTGGCTTTGTATTATATGCAGGTATTTTTCCTTAGGCTCTAGTTGGTTAGAGTTTAATTCGTAATTTGAACCAGTCAAAGGAAACTCATTGCTTTGGATTTAGATCCAAAGACTTAGACTGATCAACCTGATGACAGGAGTTATTGTCACCACAAAAGCCAATATTGTTACTGCTGGCTTTTTTTTAACTGCAACAAGAGATGCCATCAATGCAGCCTCAGAAATCTAATTTAACACAGCAAAGGAAGTTGGCCAAGAGCCTAATCTGATCAGATTACTGTTTGTCAAAGATAAAAGAATTAGACTAAGTGTAATTTATAACTGCTATAGCTTTTGAGAGTACAGACTGTAAACTTCTTTAATTATTTTGCAACATCATTCTGCTAGCTAATGATTAGAATAGTTTCCTCTCAACCAGGCAGGCTACAACACTGAGTAACTACACTGTGTGCAGAACAAGCAATTACTCATCAACTTACTATAAAATGCTTTTAACAGTTTATGCAATGTGTAGAAGAGGAAAATTCAGATATGATACCCTATGATATGATATGATACACCCCTCCAGAACAAAGTGATGCAACCAAAGGCAATAGATGGACACATATTAATCATAAAGTTTTATTTCTGTTTATCAGTAAATAGCATGCAAGCTATTTCATTATTAAATGTTAATCTTTGGTTTTTCGTGAAGTACCGGGAAACAGTACGTCTAAATAGATCTGTAAAGCACTGTTACTACATACACCTAACATACTCCAACAGCATAACATCAGAATTAGAACTGGAGAAAAAAGTGTACATTCACAGTTTTTAACTACTTTTGTGAAACACAGGAATTTAGAATAAAGAGGAGGAAACTGCCACCATGTGATTTACCCTTTTAATACCTTATAGGTGATCCTAAAATCATTAATTTATTAATATTTCAACTAAATGAACAGTTAAAATCATTTGGATCAGGCAGTTTTCAAATACTAAAGTTCTCTTAATTGTGTAAATGATATGTTTAATTGATCAATATCATAGCCCCAGGCTTTGGAATCTCATTAAATAGGGTGGAAGATAAGACATATTGGATTGGGGCTCTCCTGGACCTGTTTTATACAATTTTGCATCACTTTCCTTGCTAGCTGATATTTAATTATAAAAGTATTCATATTTTAAAGAGGTTATGTACAATCGCATAGTTTCATGATACACACTGCCACCAAGTGGCACAAAGAAGTACTACTGCCAATAATATCAAGCTTCTTCACAGACAATTCCACAAGATAAAAAATAAAAGAAACATAATACAGATCTGCCATTCACGAGAATTGTGTCGAATTGCTCTATACAAGCGAAATATACATGATGAATGGGTAATTTAAAACCTAAAACATAGCTTTTCTTGTTGCACGGCAATTACTCGGAAACAATCTACTGCTGGCTTGGAATATAACAAGGTCAGTCATTTTCCAGGATATTCAGACTGCAACAGGCTGGATACAGAACTCCAGGGTAGGGCTCTCAAGTTCTCTGGAAAGCTTAAGGAAAATGATCCTTTTCTACAACAGAAATATTTTTCCAAATTTAACAAATTCAGTCCTGGGAGTGTTTTCCTGAGGACTTTCTGAGCCTTAAAACAGGTCCTTTATATTTTCTAAGGGTCTTCAGTACTGCAATTAATTGAAGCTCCTTTGTTAGTCCTATTAAAAAAAACTAATAATAGCTGATTCGCTGGAAGCTCTGCACATGAAAAAAAAACTTCTATTTTTTATCAATCAAATGCAAAGAAAAAACACATTTAAAACTATCTGATTTAGATCACTTAGATTAACAAAATTAAAATCACTACTGCTTTTACAAAGTCAGACAGCTAGCAGCTATATCACTCTACAACTCACGAATGGCAGCCCACTGAAACCAGCAGGTGTGAGCCTGGCCAGTACCCGGATGGGAAAGCTAAGGTTTGTGTTTGTGTGGGTCCTAATACCCCAGTATAGAGATGAGGAGTCGATAAAAAAGGTGCTGTCCTTCAGATGAGAAAAAACTGACGTCCCGACTCTTCATGGTCAGTAAAAAACCCCAGGGCATTTCTCAAAGAGTAGGGGTGTTACCCAGGTGTCCTGCTCAAATTTCCCCCTGGCTTTTACCAGTTATGGTCTCCTAATGATCCCCATCCATTAACTGGCTTCATCACTCTGTTCTCTGTGAAGAATTATTATCATCTAGGAAATATACTGTACAGGCCACTGGGTTGACTTCTATCACATACAGTAGCTACATATTTATTTTTCCTTATGGACGTTATCTGGTTAGAGAGCAAAATATTTTTTAAATGCATCCAATAGGTTGTAGAAAAGTCGTAAGCATGGAATTATGGCTTCCTTTTGTGACAAGGAGCCCATGTTACGTCTATATTTTCGTTTTTATTAACTTCCTTAACATATGTGGTAGCTTTTCTACTCAACCCTGGCTGTAATAAACGTACTGCAAAAATAGCATTCCGACAATGCTACGAAAGCAATAACTTAGCGTGTCGACGTTAACCACGAATCACGAAACGAAAATCTCGTTTTTATTGGTATTCATACAATTGCAGACCTCAAGCTTTATATTAGTTTAATTTTACGTCGTTGAAACTGTGATGGATTTAAAACCTCAATTTCCGGTGCTTGTGTTGACTTTAGCTATTCTAACGCCGAGAACATACATGCAATCAATAAATAAAAATCACAATTTGTAACATTGTGCTTACTGTTTATATACTGTAACATTTTTAACTTAGAAACGTGCCGTGTTTACAGTAGGTCAATTTGTGGACGTTTTAGGCGACTTCCTGTCTAGCTACGTAAACACAGCGTCAACGGGGAGCTGCAATTGCTTAAAAAACACGAATCACACGGAAAATTACATTTAGGACTCACGGCCAGATGCAAAATCTTCAGTTTATTTGTAGTATGTCAAAGGAAGATTCTTCTTACCTTCCTGGTCCAAGTGGCTACAATCTCCGTAACTTTTCTAGCTAACTTTAGGGCTTCTAATTTGGTCTTTTGGCATCCGTTACAAAGAATATCTTTACGAAGAAGACAAACATATTTCGTCTATGAATCGGAATATTCACTGAGTATTAATATTCTAACAATATTAGGCTCCGTGACTCGAATATTAACTTAAAGATTTACTTTATTCAACCACAGGCCCACGTAAAAACCGCCCCGCACCCTGGATAGATAATAACGACCGTCCAAGGAACCTGAATTGCTGAGAGCGATTATCTGAACAGCCCGCAAGCGGCAGATGGCGACATTGAATCAGAAAACCGCTTTTTATATTATCCTGCCTACATCTTTAGTTCCTTATAAACTGAATAATTCTTTGTTGTGCTCAGAAGCCTTTGACCTATCTAAGACATCACATAGTTTTCTCTCTATAGTAATAATTACCTGTCACACCCCAACAATGGGATAGATGCGATAGGTTTTCTTCTTCTCAAAAAAGGCCTCAGTGCACAAGGGGCTTAGTTTGAATGCTTCAGCATTTTTTTTTCAAAGTATATGTAAAGTTTCACTAATATTCTGTGCTTTACCACATTAATAGCCTGCCAGTTATAGTTCACTATATCATTATATAACTGGAGCATTCATCAGTCCATTCTCTAACTTCTTCTCCCAATTCAGGGTCAGGGGGGGCAGCTGGAGTCTACCCACACAAGCAACAAGTGCAAGGCAGGGTATGTCGTGGATGAGACACCACTCCATCACAGGACAGACGGACACACAGACACCCACACACTCACACTGGAGCCAATTTTCCCAGAAGTCAATTAACCTACCATTATGTCTTTGGACAGTGGGAAGAAACTCGAGAAGAGCATAAAAAACTCCACACAGACAGCACCCCAGGTCTGGACTTGAGCCCAGAGCCCTAGACTGTGAGGCAGCACTATTAACCACTGTGCCTCCCATAACTTAAGCATTTCTCCTGAAATGACAGCATACCAAAACACTTTTAGAAAGAGAAGGTATATGTATAGTCAACCCTAGTGATCAATTGTGCAATGCACATTGATAAACCCCTTGCGGCCCAAGTTTCCCTTTCTGTATTCCTCATTATCTCCCGATTACGTGTGGAATGTGATGTTTACTTCTGAATTTGCATGTGCAAAGGACACTGTGTATCTGCTCAGATGAAGGTATCATGATGCACCTCAACCCACGATCACTGCATTCTAGAAGCACCACTTACCCTTAGGAGGTACTTAATCAACTAATCAAATGAGATGATTCAAGCGAAATCACAACTATGGCTGCCAAAACAATTAAGATACACCCTGCAAAAGCCCAACACCTGCTTACTGCCACCAGACAATTTAGCACTTTGACATGCAGTGCAGGTGCTGCTACTATGGTAACGCCATGTCTCACCATCATCAGGCACCAATGGGCTGAGCTTAGGTCTCAGCATACCATGATTCTGTGCAGCGAAAGCACTATCAATCATAAACTAACTCTTTGGGTGGACATGAATGGCCCCAGTAGCATTACGGTATCACCACTACAACAGTGTTGTTTCCTTACAGAGATTTCAATGGAACATTGTAGTCTCTATTGCAAATATTCGTGATTGCTCAGGAAAATTATACCCTTAGTCCAGTTTGCCATTCGAATATTCAGAAAACCTCATCCCTGGTGATGTGTAGAGGGCCATACTGAAACAGAAGTAGAAGCTGTAATGACACAGCTTGGTGACTCTGACTCACGCTGTTACTGTTATAGCCTCCTAATGATTGTATTCAGGATTATATGTCTTCTGTGACAGTTATGTTAGCAGCTATAGTTGTTGTCCTGTGTAAGTGATCCGTCATCCGATTCCTTAAAATCTGGGGAAGCAAAACAAATGAGTGATAAATAAACCTGAAATTACTTAGCAAACAAATGCAGCATTTAAATCATTTTAATTCATTTTAATTCATATTAAATATTTCAATTCATATAATTTTTTTTTTCCCCACACGGCGAGTCAACATTTAGCTGTCAAGTTAAATCACTGAAGTAAACAAATCGCAGAAACAAAGCCAAGTGTCTCAGAATAACTTCCCACCTGTTTACAAAAGGCAATGCGCTCTGGAGGGGACCAGAGGGGAGAACATACTGCGAACATATTGAGTGTCTTTGGGCTTTTTGGAGCCCTTGGTGTTCTTCAGATTTGGTTCTAAGAAAATGAGCAAACAGAACTATGCTGTTCTTTCTGAAGTTCTTCCCTAGGTGACCAATTAATGATGCTCAATATGCATCCTCTCATCCTTTCCACTGATATTCTGTTGGTCCCTCAGTTATTTATTACAATCATTGTTCCTTCTCTTCCCTATCCTGCACTCATGGAAACAGGTACCTAAAAACATCAGGTCTCAGTTACCCTCTGGTGTTTCCTCAATTTACCTGTTCAAACCACACTTTTATGTACAATTATTCCCTGTATTGCTGTGATACATTGTACTGAGCTTCTTTCATTTAATATAGACAGTACTTTCAAAGCTTGTTACTCATCCCAGTTTGTTATTTCTGCACATTGTAATACAGTATTTCAATTAATCTATTTTGCTTGACTGTTGTAAAAATTATATTTTAACTATTTTTACATTGATCTACATTACATATTTATGTACTAGAAGGTCTTTACAGTTGTTAGGAATTGAATTGTGCAAGATAATAATGGCAGCTTAATAGATTATGAGAATAATGTCTAGAAATTTGCAAGTATCAAATGTTCCCATGGTAAAAAACACCAAATAGAAATCACAACTCTCACACTGGATGTAAGTTTTTTCTTTTCTAGAGACTAGTTACTATTTTGTACATTTGTGTCCCATCCTGCCTTGCACCTGGTGCTTGCTGGGATAGGCTCTGGCTCCATCGCCATCCTGCTTTGGATAAAGTGGTTGGAAAAAGGATGGATGAATTCTCCATTATTTTTTACTGTAGTTTCTTTTGTTCAAGACGGATGATTTTCTGATCCTTTAAGCTGTCTTTGTAAGATGGAATTAACCCTGTTGCTATCCTTTGAAATGATCAATAAATTATATTTATTTAGACTTGATTTTCGCTAGTGTGTTGTGCTGTATTTCACCTTTCGAGTCTTAGTGCTAATATGTCTTTTGAAACACCGACCATATGTTAATTGAATTGTTAATTAACTTGTGAATTAAATGTTAATTTTAGCCCCTACCAAGCTGATTGGATTTGTAATCAAACAAATTGGCTTCGGACAATGCTGTGATTTATGATCTGTTATATGTGATCTGTACCATAAACTGTGTATCCACAATACATCATGTATTGTTTGTCCAAAAGTGCTTTGTGATTTAATTGTTTTTTTCTTCCCAATTAAGGTGCAGCTTGCTGAAACTTTTCAATGCTATATGATGGCAAAGAATTGAAATTTTCCTGAATCAAATGCATAAACTGATGACAAGTACACTGTGCAAAACATTTCAAATAACATGAGACTGAGGTGAGCATATAACCCAAACTGCATGGCTGTGACATAAGAAGATTTTATTTACTCTGAAGAGCACGTTCTCATTTTAATATCTTGGTGAATGAGAACATCTATGAAATTAAAGGTTAAGAAAATAGAAAATCCAGTACTTTGACTTTAACAGTAATTAACACAATGTTATGTGTTAACAGATAATATATCTTGCCTGCAATGCTTTTTGAGGTATAGATCATTGCCACAGGATTATGTGATGATTTTCCTTTTAATAAGACATGTTTTAAAATGTTTTTTTTTTACATTGTGGTTACATCAAAGCAATTACTATGTTTCTTTTATTCATTATCGTAATTTCAATGGCTTTTACTAGATACAATACTGTACTGTATGTCCAGTTCATAGGGATGGACTGTTAAGATCCCTTTATTGGCCATATACAATTTCTTGTATTAGGAATTTGTCTTTTCGCATACCCCAGCTTGCTCTCCATGAGACACACAGACTGGGAGAGAAGCTTGGGGTCAGAGCGCAGGGTCAGCCATTTATACGGCGCCCCTGGAGCAGCTGGGGTTAAGGGCCTTGCTCAGGGGCCCAATGGAGTAGGATTCCTCTGCCGGCCGCGGGATTGGAACCAGTAACCTTCCAGCCACAGACGCAGGTAATATTTCAAATGTTAAGGTCATATTAAAAAAAATATCTTCAAGCAATAGGAGTACCACTTTGAAAACTTTTAAATAATGGCATGCGTTTTTGATTAGATAAATCAGAACAGGAAGTGGGGAAGCTGCATTTTTATTTTTTAAAGAGAAAAATGTGATCGTAACATAATTGAATGATTTTGATTAAAAGCCCTCACAATTAATACTCTAGTAGACACTCACAATTATTATGCATCAGAAAAAATACTTAAATGGTGCAAAATGACCTATATCATGCATACTGTACACCCACCAACATGCCCACATTCATACTTTGCAGCTTAATGTCTGCCAAGATCTGTTTGCATTTATTTTCAGTTTCACTTCCTGTGCAGATGTAGTATTAAAACGCCTTCAAAACACTGAATGCATTTTAAAGGCACAGAACTGAAATGGAAGCCCTGTTTAAAATATTGAACAGGTTGTACCGTCCCTAGTTGCTACTACCTCAATTTATATATTCAATTAAAAGAGATGATGTCTCCCTGCCAGACTGCAGTAATCTTGTCTCTGTCCGTTCGTTCTTGAATAATAAAACTGATGTTCAAGCCTGCATAATGTACTTCATAAAAACAGCCAAATGGGCAGTGGGTATATACTGTAGACTGTGACTACTGTACCATTGGAGCACTTCAATAACTTAATTAAAATTACAGTTATGGAAAACATCACACATATAAGAACATGTAGCATGCATTTTATTTAGTTATAGGCTATATTGCAGCACACAAACAAAAGTTTAAATGTATTCGTTGGAATTAAATACATTGATGTGTATATTAAGTACACTGCTTCAATACACATTATCATATACTATATACAGTATATGTAATTAATTAATTGCTTACACTTTATAAGCTCTTTTCTGGACAGTCAACTCAAAGCGCTTTACAGGTAATGGGGACTCCCCTCCACCACCACCAATGTGCAGCCCCACCTGGATGATGCGACGGCGGCCATAGTGCTCCAGAACGCTCCCCACACACCAGCTCTCAGTGGGGAGGAGAGTGATGAAGACAGTTCATAGATAGGGATTATTAGGAGGCCATGA